AATGTATTTCCAGTTCTGCTCTGTGTAGAGCCTGCTGCAAGTATACGTGGCTGCAATTTTTGTTAATGCTGCCAAGGACAGACTTTGCTTAAGTTCTTGAAACACCTTTTTGGCTCAGGAAAACAGCTTTGCAGAAAAAAAAAAATAAAAAGAAAACAACAAAAAAAAAGAGGAGTTAATGCTGACTCCCAGCTCTCTACTGTGGGTGCTGGGAGCCCAAGCAGAGTTATGAACAGCAGCCGGGGCTTATGGCCACATCAGCCTTTTGATAGTGGTAACAGGAGAAATAAATGGAGGATCCTTGTAGAAAGGAGTGTTTCTGATATGAAAAAGATTGAGATTTAGGGAAACCAGCTAGTATTTCTGGTCTTTGGACACTGTATTTCAGCCTTTCACTCCAGCCCTAATGGAAAACAAGCATTAGGAAGTGTTTGTCACGTTGTTTGGGTTTTTCCTTTGATTTGGAGTGGCTGGATGCTTTTCCTGAGTGTATGGATGGAGCTGAAGAGTCCACAGTCTATTTAAGTCTAGTAGTCTCCCTGTTTTTTCTTCGTGACTAATTATTAATGACAGACTGTGGCCAGTATTTGTCAGTTATGTAGCTATAACAGCTAAAATTTAAACAATTCATAATATTTTTTTCTCATTGTTGTCTCAAGAGCATTTTTTGGGTCTAAACTAAGCTATATTCAGCCCTTAGAGGTCTCCAAAAAGTACAGCTGTCACTTGAGCTGAATTCTGCAGCTGCTCGTACCTAGTAATGGTTTTGTGCATGTATCTAATATTTAGGCCAGATCTATATTTTGTGGATTTGCACCATTTCTGCTTGAAATAACACACTGGTAGGTTCCAACACAGCCCACAGAGTAGAGCATTATAACTCACACCTCTGTGAGCCCAAGGCCTGTGGAAACTGTTATTCCTATGCGCTATGCCATAGCGGTCATATGGGACCAATGTCCTTATGTGCCCTGTGAGCTGCAGCAGGGAGCAGAGGGAATCTGGTCCGTAGTGTGCCCGGTGGCTGTTGCTCCTTGACATCCCTCAAGTTGTCCTATAAGCTGAGCTAATTCCTACGTTTCTCTAACACTTTTCTCATTGCTGTCTTGTCACCCTAATTCCTCGCCAGTGTCAGAATTTATGATCACATGTATTAGCAGTGAAACTATTTCAGATGACATGGTCATCTTGGAAAGCAAAAGGTACATTTTCCATTTGTGGAGTATTACTAATTCTAGGAGTAGCTGAGGATAAGTTTGAAACTTCACATGCTTAATGGATTGCAGGCGAGCTAGGAAATTAAGGACACAGGACTGGATAAAGATTTAGCAGCAGTTGGGGTCGTTTCCCCATGCTCTCCTGCCAATCACCCATATCTTACTTTAAAAGGCCAATGTTATTTTTTGTGTCTTTTCTTTTTGTGGCTATCCAGTCGTGCTCCATGTGTTGTTAGCTGCACGGATGACAGCTCTCTTTAGTGCTAAGCCAAGATCAGCAAGTGTATTTGGTTTTTCTAATGAATTTTAAATAGAAGGGCCAATGATAAAAGACTAGCGCTCCAGCAAACGGTAAGCATCGTTTTAGAACAGATATATAAATAGGCCAATTTAATATATGTTTTCTTCACATTTAAACAATTCAGAATGAATCAAGCCCTCGGACAGAGCAGCACGTATTCCCCAAGGGCCAGCAGCCTCTGTTCCCCACGCAAGTTCCTGAGGGTGAAGAGCTCAACCCCATCTGCAGCTTTCTGGGGTGGCCTCATTTCTGAGTGCTGGTAGCCAAGACCACTAATCACAGCCTGCTCTGGCTTCCCCGCCTGTGCCCGGCGGCAGCAGAGCCCTGTCCCTGCCCGAACCAGACACGAGGGAACTGCAGAGCGAGCGCCTGGTGCAGCCTTAGGAATCTCTGCAGCACGATGAGGTAGACTTTAACTGTGGTCTCCAGCTCAACCACAGAGCGGGAGCTGGATCCTTTTCAAAATGGGCTTCGGCACTCCCTGCGCCGAGCAAGGAGCCACAGCGGGTCAGGACGCGGCGTCGTGGTGCACAGGAGGAGCCAGACACAGCCCGTGAGCCTTTCACGCCGTTTACACATGTGTGTCCAGTACTGTGTCCAGTTTTGGGCCCCCTACCATAAAAAAAGACATTGAGGTGCTGGAGCGGGTCCAGAGAAGGGCGACAAAGATGGTGAGGGGTCTGGAGAATAAGTCTTATGAGGAGAGGCTGAGGGAGCTGGGGTTATTCAGCCTGGAGAAGAGGAGGCTGAGGGGAGGCCTTATTGCTCTCTACAACTCCCTGAAAGGAGGGTGTAGAGAGATGGGGATCGGTCTCTTTTCTCAAGTCACAGGCGACAGGACAAGAGGAAACGGCCTCAAGTTACGCCAGGGGAGGTTCAGGCTGGATATTAGGAAAAATTTTTTCACTGAAAGGGTTATCGGACAATGGAATGGGCTGCCCAGGGAGGTGGTTGAGGCCCCATCCCTGGAGGGGTTCAAAAGACGGGTTGATGAAGTGCTGGGAGGTATGGTTTAGTGATGATGTTCCTTGTTTGTTGGGCGGGTGTCTATTTTTGTCAGTTAGGTTGACGGTTGGACAAGATGATCTTTAAGGTCCCTTCCAACCCAGAAGATTCTGTGATTCTGTGATTCTGTGTGCAAGCCCACACGGGGCTGTGTGCTCACCACGTTGAGACCCAGCAAAGACCCGTTCCTGATTGTTTTGGCAGCGTGTGCGGGAGAAAGTTCAGATAGTTCAGTCCAAGGAAGCTATTGTGTTACTACGTATATTATGCATCAACGAGAAAAAATATTGCCCCTGTAGTCTCTGCTGAGTTCAAGCGTGGCCTTGGTGGCAGTGAAATCCCTCATTAATCTAGCAGCTGTGAATATGGAACAGCAGCTTTTTCCTCTCCATTTAAATTGTACTCCAGTGGGAAAGGTATGGAGAGAATACACCAGTATTTCCAGCTAACCATCTCCTTCTGTGAACACATCAGTAAAAACCCCAGCACATCCCACCCGTGGGATCACCTGCCCTTTCTGAAAGGCAGGTTTCCCTACTCCTTGGCACTTTGCAGTCACAAATTAATGCCATAAAGGCCTAATTCCAGGCTGAGTGTTCCCCACTTGCCTTCATGCAGCCCCAACAGCAGCGTTTGCAGTTGGTTTTTCCCCTTTTCACTCCCAAAAGCGCTGTGCAGTGTTTCTGCTCACCATTAGGTGCCCCTAACGCCTCCCAGTAGGTGCTGCAGGGTGACCAGCCGGGACAAAGCTTGCTGCTGGGGTTCTTCAGAAGCTCTGTGTAAAAACTGATTTCAAAGCACAGGAAAAGTCCGAGTTCTGGCACTCTGGACTGGCAAAGGATGAAGCAAAAGGGTGTGATGAGAAGGTGATTTGTCATTACGTGGCTGGCCGTATAAAGGTGACAGGGTATGAACCTAGACGTAGTGATCCTGGTTCGTGTGTGCTGTAAAACGGAGTTTCTGTGACCTTAGACAAATAACTTAGGGTCAGATTTGTAATGTAGTTAATGCTGTCGTGCTAACAGGCTTAGCAAACAAAAACAAATAGAAGTAAATACCAAAATATTTCTTTAATGATCTCGGTCCCTCTGCCTTTGCCTTCCTTCCCTGTCTGCAGACTAAGAGCATTTTTCAAACTCACAGACCTGGTGACAGCCATCCGTACGGTAATAAAGGGGACCATACAAACAGGTAAGCGAGGGAACAGAGTCTTCTGACCACAGGTGCTCTAAATACACAAATTTAGGATCTCCGGTTACCCACGAGTGAAGTCATTGCTGGTTGTAGCAGCCACCAGAGGGGTAGAAGGCTGTTGGGAGGCAGCGACCAGCACCTTGTGAAGGGCCTGGGGAAGAGGTTGATGAATAGAGTCAATGTGGTGGAGGTGGCCGAGGGTACCTGGGGAAGCTGGCAGCACTGGCCGTGTGGTCAAGCAGGGAACGTGGTGAGGGCCCATTCTGTGAAACGCTGTTTGTGAGTGAGGCAGGAGGAGAACAGGGGCCTTGTGCATGATGGACTTGGTGTTTCTCAAGGTGCTCCAGTTAAGAGAGGTTGCCCTGCCATGGCAGAAGGAGACGCACCCAGGAACCTGCCTGCTGCTGCCTGCCATGGGGAGCAGGAGCACGTGGCGGGGGATGCGTGAAGCCTGGAGAAGGCAAGGGCAGCACCTGGAGCTGCTGGAGACTCTGGAGACCTCAACAGAAAGGGGCCTGACTGCTGGGGAGGAGGAGGCCACTTGCAAGACGGCAACTCACGCTCAACCTGGGGTAACGGGGCAGAGGTGGTGCACTGAATTGGGGCTGAATGGGGTTTCTGGAGGCTCCCATCCCCACACGAGGCCATTGCTTCCCTCACAGTCCCTCTTTTTCCTTCTCCGTTCCGCCCCCCCTCCTCCCCAGACCCCTCTCCTCCGCTCTCCCACCACCAGCCCCGCAGGCATCCCCTCCGCGGGCACCCCCGCTCCCCCGGGGCCGGTGCGGCCCGGGCCGGGCTCCTCCTCCCCGGGGGCGGCCCCGGCGGCAGGTGGCTGCTCGGAGCAGGAAGCTGCCACCGCTCGTCGCGCCGGTCCCCTCCTGTGCCGCCGCCGGGACTCGCCGCCCGCACCCCCCGCCGTCGGGGGCAACCGCGCCCGCCTCAGCGACCCCCGGGAGATCTTCTTTGCTCGTTTTCCTCTTTTTTTTTTTT